CATTTAGGATGATAATTCACTGTTGTAACATTGTAGATAAATCAGAAAACAAGGAAAAGCATGCCATGGGCTCTTTACGTAAACTGCTGCTTCAAGTGCAGCTGCCGGTTATCTATCAGTTATTGGTTGTTAACCATGAAGTGAAATTGCTTCTAGGATTTGAAAGGTTGAATGCATACAGTATGGTTTAAAACTGAAAAATGCTTCTGTCTTTTCAATATTACAAATCAGTCTTCAAAGTTTTGAAACTTGCTTTGCAGACATTCACCCTCCTTTCAGACATTCAGCACACTGCTCAGTTTCTTTCTATCCCTGTTTTAGCAGGGGAAAGAGCTGAAACTGGAAAAAAGACAGCAAACAAACAATTGAATCTATGAAAGAAATTAGATCAATGTTTGCAAAGCAAGTTTCAAAACTTTGAAGACACTGATTTGTAACACTTCAAAAATTCTTTCTTCCGAAAATTGAGTCCTACATTTTTTTAAAACCATACATTTTTGATTTTGTCTGCCAAACCATGTTTCATGCATTCAATTCATTTTCAACCTTTCAAAGAGCCTACTGTCAGTATTATATATTGTGGCAGAAAATTCACTTCATAGTTAATCAGCTTTATTTTTAAACATTGATTTAAAGCTCCATCTGCAGGATTAGCATTTACATGACTAGTCCTCTAAACAGCAGCACGTTAGGTTGGCTAGCTAGCAAACTGTAGGTGTTTGTTTAGGATGAAATGTTTACCTGCTGTTTTGGCTTAATTTGTGATTCAAATCACTTTGTGGGGACTGCAATCCGTTTACACACTCACAGTGTGGGGACTGACCTTCCTGGAGGAGACCAGATGCTGGTAAGTCATTAAATTATAATGTTACGACTTGGTTTAAGGTTTGCTTTAGGCTAGGGTACAGGTAAGTCACTAGGAAATGAATGTGTCAGTGTGTGTAAACAGACTTCTGTCCCTACAAAGTGATTCAAATCACAAACCAGGCCAAACAAGCTGGTCAACATATTGTTCTAACCAACATTTGCCAGCTAACCAACTTATCATGTTGCTATTTAAATGAGTAACATTGGTTGTGCAAAGAATTATAATGCAGACGGAGCATCAAATCAAACATTTAAAAGTAAGGTTTAACAGCCCATCAATAACTGCACTTGAAGCATCAGTTAAGTTACATTTCTTGGTCAGTTTTACACAAGCGTACGCTGTCTTCACCAACCTCAGGTGGTTTGGGGTGCATTCAAAAGCCCACAACTTTGTGTGGTGTTCAGAGCGTTTAAAGTTCAGCTCTGTCCTTTCCCTAACTATGAAGCCTCTCATTAAACCACTGCCTTCGTGTTTCCCTTCAGGTTCTTTTCTGACAGGAGATGAACTAGTTGAGCTGCTGGACGAGTAAACCTGCCGAAGAACAAACCATTCTGACGACATGCACTGCCAAGAAGCCCTGCTCTCCTCTTTGACCCCCCCCCTAATGTAGGCACCACATGCCAGTGTCACCATTTCTACCTTTTACATGTACAGTAACTTAAAGTATAACATACTGTGTATTTCTTCTACAGGAGATATGTAGGTTACCTGTAAAATAA